TTCTTTAGGGTTTGTGAAATATTTTTAAAGTTTCTAAGTCTGATTCATTTAGTTAAAACTGTTTCAGTGAATCAAACTCTTTTGCATCATAACACCGTTCATATATTGAAATGCTTTAATGAAAATAAATGTAGATAAATATTGCTCTTTATCACCATGTACTGCATTGCCACAGACTTTTACTGCATTTCACGTCTTCCATTTTTTGTGGCTTTTAAAATATCGTTGGCTACAATGTCAATCGAAATGATGGAAATATAAATCGATTTTAAAGACAATAATGCTTGATATCAAATTTATACACACAAAAATATCAGGTTAAAGTTGTTACACAATGAATTAGGATCATTTAGATGAGGCTCCAATACTGCCACACTCATGTTCACTCATAGATCTAATTTTCAGGAATTCTACGCAATTATAGGAAACCGGGGCCAAAGTTTACTGTGATTGTCGATGACGTAGTTAAGTGATGGGGACCAAATAATGGTAATGAGAGTAAAGTTCATCTGGAAGCAGCTGATGTTAGAAATTGATGTGACAGTGAAGTACGCAGCAGGAGGAAGAACGGGGTTGGCTAGCAGGAAGCATCGGGAGACAGTGGTCTGGAGGAGCTAAAGAGTGGAAAAACACTGGTAAAGAAGATCAGTATATGCCTTAAGAAAGAGAAGATGGGAGCGATACGGAAGCGGAGAGTTGGAGTAAGAGGGAGAAAACAAGAAAAAGAGAAGGAGAAAATAAGCTCCCAGACCGAGAGCAGTGCCTCGCACCCCTGCCGTTAGCCGAGGGTGGGACGATGAAGTCTCCATTCAGACCCTCTCTAGAGATCCTGTCACAATAAACTGCACATTTCTGTTTAGACCAGTCCTACAGCTGCATGGGAGGCTCTTTGAATTTCTCCACCAAAGTCTCATATCTTGGATTCTCCTGTGAAAACAAAGGTCTTAAATGCCCACATCAGTCCTACTCAAATGCCCATCGCCGATACCTACAAATGACACAAAGAGGAAAAGATAGAAAGCATGCGGTAAACCTTGCAGCCTTTTGATGATATCTGATAAATATGTCAATATAAATGCTCTTGAAAGGGCTTAAGTGTTGATTCTTCAGAGGAACCATCATAGCAGTATTGTAAATATTGTTGGCTACAATCATGGCAATGCACTCAGAAAACATAAATAAAATGCCGTAAAATCTATATAAATGATACAAAAAAGCAGTAGTTATTGACATATACTTTTAACAAAACATTCTGATATGAACAATATGAGGCTTCTGTGAGGATTATTTTTAAGTCATGGCACTAAAGAGTTTGATTCAATTAACGAAACGGTTAAAAATTATATATATATTAAAACTACACTTTTTTTTTACTCAGTCAATTAATTTAAAGTTTTTTAAGGAATACTTTAATTCACATGGATGCATAAAAATAAAAAATCCATTAAAAACTTTATGCATAAATTGTTGCGAAACAACAACAACAACAACATTTCTAATTAATTCTGTTCTTATGAACCTTAACAAAAATGCATCATGTTTCCACAAAAATATTTTATTTTTTAGGTTGCAATATTTCACAGTATAGTTTTTACTGTTTTTTTGATCAAATAAATGCAGCCTTGTTCAGCATAAGAGACTGTTCAAACACTTACTAATTGTTGTAAACATTTTTTTACAAATTTTGATTGTTCAAAAATCTACCAATTATTTAAAAAAAAAACAATCCCAAATTTTTGAATGTCGTATGACTTAAGTTTATGTATATGGTGACAGCAGGAAAGTGTGTCTCATTGTATTTGTGAGCCATTTGTTTAGTATAATAATAATGGCTAAATATATTTGGTATTATGAAAATTGCAAGCATGTTGCATTCACAAAGGATGTTATAAACAACACATTTCTAAAGATGATCTGAATTCATTCTGAATGTTCACACACAGAACAAGCCAAAATTCTTGCAAAATACTCCGAGACCCCTGAAGCTACTGTAAGTGATGGAACACGACCAACCTTTGAGGCTCTTGGAAAAACATGCCTATATCTACACTTCAGAAAAACTCCAAAATCATACCAATACATACAATTCACTGCAGTTTCCAGCTGAAATGAGCACTAGTGGCAGTAAAACACCACCAACTTTTATTGCCTTTCATACAAATACAGGGACATGATATAGATAATAAGATAATAAAGACTCAGCTCCTTGCACAATATGAAGTTATAACCTTAAAACACATTTACCACAGTGCATGACTTGTAAACAAATACATTTTGATGTTTGCATCACATAATCGGATCCATATGGCTTTTCTAACATGGTAAACTTGCTTGATAGCACACCTGGTACAGCACTGCACTTGTGCTCGTGTAAAAGGGCCGTGAAACGCGAGACACGATAAAAGGGCTCAAATACTTGTAGAAGCAAGCTAAAATGACAGTTGCTTAAGAAAATAAGTTTTTATTTATTTTTATTTTACTTTTGCTCACACTAGCAAGTTTAGGGGTAGAGTTTAGTGTAGGTGGTACAATGTTTTCAAACTCAGAAGCAACGTCAATTTGCAGAAATGTCATCACAGGCACTTTTTTCTAAGGAGCCTGGTTTGGAAATTACTGTTTTTGCAACACTGAGTTGTCAATACAAGGTCAGCAACTTTCTTCTTTGAATGAAGAGTTTTAGAGACAGATTTACTAACAGCTTGTGCCAGGAAATCCCTCTTTTGGTTTAAAAATTAGCAATGAAAAGGCACGCAAAAGTTATTTTTGTGGCTTTTATAAGATTGTGGTCTCATGCTAATTGGCCCGGTTTAGTAAATCCGGCCCTTAGACGCCAATCTCAGGTTAGGTAACTAGATGCAGGTAAGCAGTTATGTTGCAGCAGAGCACAGAACAATGCTCTGAAACACAAGTTAGATCAGGCTAATGGCCAGCTCTCAGCCTGAGGGAGTTAACAGAGCCCATCACAAAACACAGCCTTTCTCTTCGTAAATGAGCCACTGCACCGTTTTCTAACTCTGGCACAGAATAAACCCGGGAGACAAAGCCTGGTGATTCAGGGTGACGTAATGGAGAACTACAACAAATAATGAGCAGAAAATGGCCAGAATGACCATCAAAAAGCCACCCTGCATGAATTATAACGCTACAGCAATCAATTCGGTCCTACTGACAAGCACACAAATACTTAACGCTCAGTCAAAACATTGATGACTACTTCATTAGAGGCTTGCTTAATTCTGTTGTGCCTTATAGTTACAAACAACTGCACTTCTGATAAAACATATTAGTGACGCACCAACTTTTCAGCAATGTAATGATTGCGACTGAATCTGGTCGAGACCGTTTTAAAGAGCCAAAATCGTTGACTGAAATGGTGACGTTTAATTCGCACTTCTTTGATTGCACAGCACACTGTGACAGTGTTTTTATTAGAGTTCTGATTATTAAATCATTTAGAATAAGTGCCATTTTATATGCTATTTTCTGTTTTGTGAAAACTTTGAAAAAGGAACGTTTTTAAATGGAAAGAGTTTTTGTAAAAATTCATTTCGGTGGATCGTTATAATCGACTGAAGCTCATGATATACAAATGGGGCCAAGAAAGGGGACTCTGGCTATCTTACACAACACGCATAAAAACAAACATGCCATATATATAAAACATGTCGGGGTTGATGTAATCTCTCTCCTACCAACAGTAAACCACCAAAACATATGGGTTCAGTATAGACAGACACAAACAAATACACACACACACCTATATTCAGGTAAACACATCTCTTCTCGGCCCCTTGCGTTTTATCTTGTGTCTCACAGTCTGTGGTCAGTGACAGGCAAGATCACAGTCTTGTGCCTTGAGGTTAAAGGTTTTGCACTCTTTCTGAATCAGCAACGCTAATGTAGAGATACATTCTCTTCATTTGAGTTCAATGTTTGGTTACATTCTGCCACTCTGAGATTCATCAGATAATGGGCAGAAAGCTTGTTAGGGAAGAATTGTCATGAGGATGAGGCAGACTTCAAGGCGCTCTCAGAGCCGTTACACACACACACACACAAACACATTCTCTATTATTCTCTCATTAGCATTCTGATGGTCTTTAATCTTCACAGATATAGCTACATGAGGTCTCCAAGTTACCAGTTTTCCAGACTATATACAGCTCATTTTATAGCCTATTAACATGCTGCCTGATAAATCCTGCTCACTGTAATAAACATTAACCCACTATATATAAACTTTTAAATTAAGTTTACCGTAATTGCTACCTTAAATGACATGTGGTGCTACCTTAAAAATTGCTACCTCAAAATTTTAAGTGGTGCCAAAAAGTCATAAACTGCAGTTTCAGTTTAATTACTGATAAAGACATTTCACTGAAAACGAGGAATTAATAAATAATGATAATAATAATCAACAACAATAATAATTACTACTACTACTAATAATAATAATATTAGTATTATAAAAGGCTGAATAACATTTATAATAAAATGGAGAATAGCAACAGAATTGTAGGCTATTGCATTTGAAAATCATGCCACATGTAAATGCTTTCAGCTGATTTCAGCACAGGACTATACTATTTATCTCTGAAATAATAAAAAAAAAAGATCCACGAATAAATATAATAAAATAGAAATAATTCAAATACAATTTTATGACGTTCTCTCACATTCCTACAAATTATTATTACTTCGAATACTTTCAATATTCATTAAGGGAATATGTAATAGGCTGTCTTGGAGTAACTCATAGCCTATATTAGTCGAATCGCTCATTATTTTCGAATTTAAAGCAGGCTATATAACATTAACAAGAAGCAACATTCTCAGACTAACATGACAAAGAATATAGGACACTTTTCTTTCTGTCTGTCTTTCGTGTCGGTGTGCGCAGCTGTGAGCTTCATAGAGATCCACTTGTTGCTGCAGCTCCACACAAACCCGAACTGCGCTGTTTACAGAAGAGCAGATTACTCACAGCCCGCTGAACTCACCTCTTCTTCTCTTTCTCCGCTGTCATCTCTCTGTCCCCTCGAAGCTCCCGCAGTTCAACAGCAGTGCGACCTCTGCGCAAACGGGACGCGCTCCAAACCCCCCGCAGACGCTCGCGTTAAATCACAGAAAAGGACGCAAAACTGACCGTGAAAATGCAGTAAAGTCCACCAGCAGGGCAAAAGTGACTGTACAGTCTCAGAACACTGCCAAGGATCGTACAGTCGCCCGCTTTTGTAAAATCCACGCGCGGTGGGGCTCGTCGCGGTGAGGGAGTTTCTCTGGTTTTGCGGGTCAGCGAAGTTGCCGCACTGAAGGACGCTTGACAGCAGAGCAATCAATCCCTGCTCTCTGATTGGCTGGAGCCGCCGTTGGGACCCGCCCACCGTCTGCGCTGACAGGATCCGCTCCTGACCTGCAGCTCTACCTTCTCCAATATGGAAGCATATAGGTAGCGAAATTCAGACCCCTTTAAAATGAAATATGCAAAATGGCATTGTATTTCTGTATTTAAATTTAAATTTTCCATTACCCATACGTGCAAAGTTTGGTGCAAAAGTAAAATTAAAATTAAATTACATAATTTACATTTGCCATTTTGAATATTGCGTTGCCATTTTGCATATTGCATTTTAAATTGAATTTCGCTACCTATATGCTTCCATACTCCAAGAGCCAGCATCAAACTTTAACCAAACTCATTTTAATCAGTTAAGTATCGTAGTTTAGTTGAAAATAACAGCAACATGATTGTAACTCTGCAAGATGGCATGTCTCTCTGGAGCAGGACTGAGTGGACAAGTGAGCTAAAAGGCTATTGAAAAAGACATTCAGGGATGAGGGACACATGTAGGCTAGCCTAATAATTTAAGAATCATTGGTACATTAGTTAATTAGGACAATGTATGGCTTTCCTGAGAAGCAAAATTGTTTTATAGTATTTTTATGCATCACTATTTTAGAAAACGTCTTATAAGTAAAATAAGTTTTATATCATAAATGTTCATAAAGCGCACACACACATACACACAGAGAGAACATTGCACATAACAGTTTCTCATAGTCTAATAATACACAAGAATATCATAGGCATAACCATGCAGTAGATGATTAGTCTATTTTCAAAGTTCACAGGCTAATGATGAGGGTAATCAGGACTTGTACGTACTGTAGACTGTAGAGAAGTGATTGGCTACTGTCCTGACCCGTTCATAATGACAGGTCTTGTTGCATTGTATGTAATTTCCACATCCTAGCAACAAAACAATCCAGTAATATAATGAAAAAACCACACACACAACGAAACACTAAAGAGGGTACTCGTGTAACCTCACACTCCAGCATATATGCACACACACGCACACACACACACACACACACACAACACTTGTTTTGGTGACTTGCGTATAGGTCAACACTGCTGTTTCGAATGGAAACGGCGCGATGGTCTCATGAAAGTCCTTCCCAGTACCGTCCAATCACTGTCTCTGGCTATCAGACCATCATGTGATCAGATCCCAATGCTGAGTGCTTAAAACTCCCAGTTCACACGTTCATATGCATCACATCTGCAATACAATCACTTGTTCTTTACATTTGGTTTTTGCATTTCAAAACGGTACTAGTTAAATGGGTTGACTCCAGATGTACCACTGATGCACTGCATGATGGGAGAAGAAATTAAACATGAAATGGCCTTCTAAAGAGCTCTATCCAGCTGCTTAAGTGATGTCACATGAGCTCCCTTAAGTGTTTTACATACATTAAATAAAGATGGTGCAAATCTGTGAGTATCTGTGCACGCATGTGGGGTTCAGCAGGAAAGATTATAATGCCTAACTTTCTACTTTTAAATTAAAGCATCAAATTCTTGGTAAATGATGGTCTATGATCAGCTCATGGGCGTTTACAGTGTTCACAGCGCAGGAGATGGAGGTTTAAGTATTAGGACAGGGTCTCTTCACTGAAGTAAGAGAAGCCCTTGAACTCATCCTGGTTGATCTGCTTGATAATGGCATCTTCCACCGGGGTGAGCACCGGCTCCTCGCGGGTGAAGTCCTGGTCAAAATTGTTGACGTCCCTTTTGGTTTTCTGTGGATGGAGAAGAGGAAAGTGTGCTAAATGAGCAATTTCAGAACAAGAAATCACAAGAACACATAAACATCCAAACACGGTGCATTCCATAAACGCTCTGACTAACCTAAGAAATGCTTTTCCAGAAAATATTTGAGCAATTTTTATGTGTGTCCCTTATTTCTGTCGACTGAACAAGCCAGGCCAATCATTTGTGAATTAATCATACTTCTGAGTCGGTTCTTTCTTTTCAGTAAAACAGGCTTTCAAAAAACAGTCTGAATCAATGCACGCTCTCTCATTGAATCATCTGAAGCAGACTGTCAGTCAGTAAAATAGAGAGTATCAAGATTTTAAGGAAACAGAGAACAAACAGTGCTGGATGAAGTGGATATTCACCTACTAACAATTGAAACAAAAGGCTTCTTTCTGAGAGATAAATGAGAAAATTCAGCTACTGCTGTGTCATGTGAATAAGTGGTCATTCACACAGAGAGTGTTTTGTGTCCTATGCTGTTTTTTAGTTGTTTTTCTATGCGAACATGCACTAGATGGATATCTTTAACCATTCCGTTGCTATATAACATTTTTTGTGTATTAAAACATGCATAAAGACCATTGCTCTCATTTATTGTTTGATCTGAAGAGTCTTAAGTCTTGTTGAAGTTTGTAATAGAATGCTAGACATACTCAGAAAAGTAAAAGTTCTTTCAGAGTTGAATTTTTAAGTTTCTACAATATTTAGTGGTAGCTTATCAGTGGTGGCTGTCAATTAATGTACATATAGCAGAAACGAACGGAAAAATCAATTTAAGATGTAATAAAACAGACGATGAACACTATTAACAGCAATTATTATATGATACAATAAAACTTATAGCAGAATGTGGTAGTTCTGTATATTGTTTCAGGGTTGGCATCATCTGAGGTCCTCTGAGGGGTTGGCATAATCTCTTCTCAGGTGTTCTGGATCCAGACTGAAGCTTGTGTAAAACAGAGAAACAAATAGAGACATACTT